TTTCTCTTTTTTCGCTCTACAGCTTCCCTAAATCTAGGATTGTCATATACTACTCTCTTGGCCTCCCACGACTCCGCCAAGGAGCGGTCCCAGCCCTCCCAGCATATTTGGACGTCGGCGATGACCAGGTCCTTGCCTGTGAAGTAGATGATTAGATTGGGTGGTCGGGGTGGTAAACGCGTGACTCTATCTCCTCCACCCATCCATCTCACCTAAAGTGTTGCGCCACCCTCTTCACTACTTCGTCGTGTCTTTTGATGCGCTTGAAGTGGGTCACGTGGCATCTCTGCAATACGTGTGAGAGACTCTCCACTCGAGCGCACCCTCCTCGACAGCGCCATTCTCCCTCTGTAATATAGGGGAGACCCTTGGTTGAGAGGTTCGATGCTCTGAAGCATTGAATGCAACGTTGACAAGTACAGGGATCTTCTAAAACTCGGATTTTATTCCAAATTGAACGCATTTACTTGTTAAGTCGAACGCCAGATGGCCAAACTCGAAAAAGCCTAGCGGCGCGGCGGACTCTATATGTATACGATTTTTACTACAGAATACTACTTCTTCCTATAATTACTTATTCAATGGTATTGGTGTGTTTAATTCATGTTTACTCAACCGTTTCTTACAGCTCAACACCCACTCATCGTATCAATCTTTGCATTTACACAACGTATAATGCGGCCCTATTGTTTATTCAGGTATAGTTTTGCTTAAACGATTGGAGTTCAGTCTTTTTAAATTTTGAATTGATCAGCCAATCGTGACTGGCCTGGACCGATACACTAATATTGATCTAAAATGGGCAAAATAACAATATGTGCATGGTACGAGCATAGTTAGACTTTGTAGTTCAATGGCAGAGCGTTGGGCTATAAAGCCGGAGGTCGGGTGTTCGAACCTGGGCTGAGGTAAGAATTTTTCATCTGTGACAGAGATGGGAATTTCCTCAGATCAGTTTCGAACATTCTGCCGACTACTCTGAATTAGGTTTTCCTGCAGTTGTCCTAATTCGTAAGGTCAATACCGGAATAGTATAGAACAACTTAAGACCTTCTGCAGGGGCACGTCTAAAAAGCGTTGTTGACGACCCAGAACAAGAGAGGGGGTGATAAATAAATAAAATAAATAAATAGCCGGTTGGGACACGTTTCTACTGCTTCCATTAAATAGGAGTTCTCTATACAATGCTGCTACATAATACGTCAAAGGAGTCAGAATTTTAATTATAGTCCTAAGTATAATCACTTTTGCAAAGTTGTCAACTTCACGTTAGGGGGCGCACTATATCTAACACTATCTCATATTCATCAGTGTACAAAGATCATTACAATAGTCGCGGAGTTTGTATTACGGGTAAAGAATGGGGACGTTTTTTTTTATTAAAAGTTCATGCAAATCGCGTTTTCTGACTACGTGCAAAGTAGAGTGGCAACGCTTATTTTCAATAACACAAAGAATTCTGTAATATGAAAGTTCTGTGCATTCCTCTTCCGTTTTTAATATGAATTAATGTTTTATTCAAGTCAAAGGGCATTTATCAGAGACTACGTGATCTCGATCCCCTGACGCGCGGTCCGGAAATATGAGTGTGTTTACCTTTGAGAAGTGTATTCGGTGTTCAACCACCCTCAACGTGAAAAAATGGTAATAAACCCAGTCCGTTCCTTTGAATTTTTCGTAAATCTGAAATTGGAGGAAAGAGTGAACGTTTAATTTAAAGTCTCTGGATTTTTTGCTGTCCATCGCGTGCGGGTAAAAACCTTAAAGGTTTAGTTTTATAACTACCTACTCAATGGAGTAAATTACATGTTATTTTAAGAACATTTTGCTGTTTCGAAAGAGATAAACACAGAAATTATTCATAGAATTTGTAAAAGCTACCTTAAAATCGATATTTATTCTTTGTAAAATTGTTACCGCTTCGTAAAAGGGGATGCCAACGGCAGAACCCCAGTTTGCGTCTTCGTAAGTAAGAGTAACCAAAAACTAAAGTGTATGAAGTAAATGAACCATGGGGCTACTCAAACATACCCGTACAGATAAATTGTAAGGGTTAAACCAAACAGATGTTGTTTGCATTATGTTTGTAGAAATTGAACATGTATCCCTTGGAGTTGTTAGGATAACGACTATTCGCGATTTTGTTGTTTACATAATGAGCTTTCCATAAAAGTTTAAAAAAATGTTCCAAAACCCACTCGTGGGTATTGCCGCGTAACACAAAGTATTGAAACGATGCATCGTCATCGAAAGCACACAAAATGTCGAATCTGCATATTGAAGTACGTCCACGTCCAGAGAAAGAGAGGGGTTAAATAAGTAAAATAAAGTTTCAAAGAACTTACCACACATAAGAAAGTTGGCTATGAGCAGTCTGTGCAGTCCCTGCGCATGTCCACATAATTTTTACCATGTGCGAAATGTTTGCCTTTACTAGAAGCATCTGTGGTTAAAATTTCAAAGAAATATCTCCATAAATAAGAATGTTGGCATTGCGCAGTCACTGCGCATGCCCACATAATTTTTACCATATGCGAAATGTTTGCCTTTACTAGAAGCATCTGTGGTTAAAATTTCAAAGAAATATCTCCATAAATATGAAAGTTGGCATTGCGCAGTCTGCGCAAAATATGGAGTTAAATGAAACTGATCGAAATGGGCAAATATAGACCATAACAGCTATCAATTAGCGAAAACCCGAAGTCTCTAGGTGGCCCAGGGGCCGAGATCTCGATGGAACGGACGGACGGACGGACGGACGGACGGACGGACGGAACACGAGCACATAAGCTTTACCTCAACTTCGTTGTGTTACGCTAAAAATCAAGGAAGTTGAAGCGATTACAACTGATTAACGAAGAGGCTCCGTTATTATAGTCCAGGCTAAATAGCTCTAGAATTTATTTAAAAAAAGAATTAGTTACCGGGCGAAACCAGGTTTTTCAAGCAGGTGAAATTGGGAAAAAATAATTAAAAAAGCTGAATTTTTCCGCGGGTGAAATCCTGGGGGTTGAAAGGGGTGAAAGTGGTGTTTTGCAAATTGTGTCAAAACTATTAATTTTATACGAAAATGTTCGATGTAAAAATCATAGAGATTAAAAAATGAGCACCTTTTGTAACTGCACTATTTTCACATAACCTCCAATTTTCCTAGAAAAACCGGAAAAACTGTTTTTTTCGTTTTTTATTCTTATTTTTGCGAAAAATAGGCCTAGGGTTTTGAAAATTGAAGGAAACAGCTTGTTTTATGATAAAAAGGAGATATTTTTTTGGGCCCGTAAAGTTGAACCGTTTCCAAGATCTCACGATTTCTGAAAAAACCAGCGTACAGAGTTGCGCGGAGTAGCAAAATTTTCATAAGGACTTACATTTTAAAAATCAAAAATAAAAAATATTATTCCAATAGAAAAATTTTAAGAAAAGCGGCAAAAACTGGGAGAACAGTTTTAAGATATACCGTTTTTGACAGTAGGTAAATAGCTTTGTTAGCAACTAAATTAACGTATTGGATGTCCGCTAATAAAGAGTTTTTGAAATATGGTTTCTCTCTCCTCTTTAATGTTGCTAAAATATTTTCTTTTGTTTCCTAGTGCCCAACTGCCTTAATTAAAACAGCTTTGTTATTTCGTTTTTCTGCATTTTTACCGCAATAAAAGCAATTCGAAGTAAGAATCGAATTCTTTTGCTTCCTAAATTTGTTTTGGTTCACCAACTCTTCTTCCTGCCTTTTTTACAGCTGATGGGATTAAGCTGTGCCTGTTGATCGTTAATTTACAGGAATTATGAATAAAATCCTCACGAAGTTTATTCCAGGTTTTACATCTCAAATCATTTGCTTTGGCCGGTAAAACTAACGTTCTTATTTCAGATTTTGCAAGTTTATCAACAGGCCCAACGCAATTGCATCAGCTATAAAACAGGCAGGAAGAAGAGTCAGTGAATAAAAACAAATTGTTCAGGAATCCGGAAGCAAGATAATTCGATTTTATTTCGAATTGCTTTCATTGCGGTAAAAATGCAGAAAAAAGAAATAATAAAGATGTTTTAACTAAAACAGTTGAGCATAAGATAACAAAAGAATATTTAAGCAAACATTAAAGGGAAGCAAGAAGACAAATTTAAAAACGTTGATTTATCACGAATTTATCATGTCAAAAATCGTGTATATCTTAAAACTGTTTTTCCAGTTTTTGGTGATTTTCTGGAATTCTTGCTATAGGAATAATATTTTTTTATTTTTGTTTATTAAACTATAAGTCTTCCCGAAAATTTTGCTACCCCGCGCACTTTTGTGCGATAAAAAAATAGATTTTTCAAAAGATGCGTTTTTTTCAGAAATCGTGAGATCTCGGAGACGGTTCAACTTTACGGGCCAAAAAAAGTCTCCTTTTTTATCATAAAACAAGCTATGTTTACTCCAAATTTCAAACCCCTACGGTTTTTTTTCGCAAAAATAAGAATAAAAATCGAAAAAAAAGGTTTTTCCGATTTTTCTAGAAAAATTGAAGGTTATGTGTAAATAGTGCAGATACAAAAGTTGTTCACATTTGTATTCTTTATAACTTTTACATTGAACATTTTTGCCTAAAATTAATAATTTTGCCACAAATTGCAGAAAAACAGTTTCCAACCCTTTCAACCCTTTCACTCGCGGAAAAATTCAGCTGTTTTAATTATTTTTTCCCAATTTCTAATCATTTCACCAGCATGAAAAACCCGGTTTGAACCGGTAACTTATTTTTTTTGTAAAAAAATATTATATACCTAGGTCTCTTGTAATTTCAAAGCATTACAAAAATCCTTGTTAATCTCGGCGTCTGTAAGATTTAGGTCTTCTTGGAGATTAACTAATATGTTCAATATATTTTCCAACTAGCTCCACGTAATAAGGTTTTGAAAAACAAAAATGAAAAAAATTGTTTTCGTTTAAAGGAGAATGGGCTATCGTGTGGTAGAAAGTATGCCTGATTCTAGACTAGATTTCAGTGATAATCTCTTACCTAAATTGATCTCTAGAATTAAGTGTTTCTTGTTTAATTGAAAGTATGACCGGTCCCAAGTCCTCATCGTTCGTAAAGTAGTTCCAATGCTCTGTGCCGTAAAAGTATTTCTCGTAAGTTTCCTGCTCCACACTTGTTAGTTCAAAACAGCCATTCTTTTCCCATTGCTCTTCTATTGATGTCTTTTTTCGAGGAGACGGTGACGTTGAATCCTCATCCTCGTCATCTTCGTACAAATCATTGCAACCTGGAAAATATATTTTTCCGTTACTATCACTTTAATCATTAGTAGTTACTAGGGGGTAACGATTTCGTTAATTAGGGGCATAGGTAATGCAATCTAAATTAAGTTGCAGGGGTTTTTAAATCTTAAGAGGAGCAACGCTATGTAGATACAGTATGATTCCATGTTATTAACTATTAAAACTGTTGTGAACAGTTCAATCAAAATGACTGCAATCCAATCCAATAGATAACAGGTCCATTCATTAGTGTTAAGTGAGGTCTGATGGTTAAACATTTGAGTTATGAAATAGGACCAAAAAGGAAAAAGGTAAGTTACAAATTTTAAGCCAGTTTGCAGAAAAGCGTTCTTAAAGAGATTTTTCTCTTATATTATAAGGGTGGTTTAGCTTGAAGAGCATAGTTAATTGAGTTGTTATGTGTTATAATTTAATATAATGTAAAGTAGGTAATATAACGTAACTGAATGTAGTCACGTAAAGTAACGTAACGTAGCGTAACGTAGCCTAACATAACATCCCATGACGCAACGCGAAGTGTCGCGACTTGACAAGACGTAACCGGATCTGACGTGGCGTCTCGTAACGTAACGTAGGAAGGATATATCATCGCAAGTTTCAAAATAACAAAATAAATAGAAAACATCTAGTCTTTAAAGGTTGTTAGGTTTCATATTCTCGTGTGTCACCTTGGAATACTAAATTCTTCCTCTATACAAATAGATTAAGGATTAAGATGCAAAATATTGGGCGAGGTTTTAACACTCGCTTTAACATTAGTAAACTTGGCGGAATGAGTATATCACATATGAAAAAATTGATCTCTGAAATAAACAATAAAATGTGTAACTCCTCAGCGGTCTGACGTATGGCATCGTGGAATCATTTCACTGACTGTCACAAGAGATAAAATATGCGCGTTATGTTGTTTTTTTAGGTAGCATACGCCGAGAGAAGTTCTGAGTGGCTGCATTTAAGATGGTAAACTCAGGCAAGTTCTCGATTTTTATTTTAAATTTCTTTAAAAGTAATTAGATTTTGATGAAATTTTTATGAGACCTTCTTTAAGTAAATTAGGTTTGATTCTGGATAAATATAGCTACAGGGAAATTTCCATGAGCGCCTGGGGAGCGTCGCCGTGGAGTTGCGGGCGCGAGTATGAAAATTGTAACGAAGTACCCGTTTTCCGCCCCAAAGTTCGTACCCGAAGTTATGACCGCACCGTACATTTGTGAAGTCATCCAGTTTTGCCGAACACTCGGTGTCTGGAGGAGTTTTGAGTTTGGCGCTTCGATGCGAAGGAGTTCCTGAATTGTTTGCTCGAGGAGTGAATTTTCTATGTTTACATTTTGTATAATTGTTTATTACTGCCGTACACGTAAGTAGGAATATTTAAATTATTCTGACAGCCGCCGAATCCAAATCGAGTGGTTTACACATATCAGTCTTGGAGACATGACGGGGTGTTGATTGGATTAATGAGTATTGAAGTTTGAATCCGCTTAATTGAGTAAGCATGGTTAAGAATGAAGTTTTAATAAGTTGTAGAAAAACCGGCAGGCGGCGTTCAGAGCTAACCCAAAATGATCGCATTTAAAAGACGGGAAGTTCGATGTCCATCTTATATTTTTCTGATAACTACAGGCCGAGTAATTAAAGAGTAGTGTCAATACTCCTTTTTCGTTTTTTAGTTGTGTTTTATTTGGTTGCAGATCATTGGCAGATAGCACCCTTTTGAATTGAGACGGCCGTGCCCAGGATTCAAAGGTATAACTTCGTCGATCTATCTTTCTGTAGTAAAAAAATAATAGATAAAAATGGTAAATCCATGCCCCCCCCCTCGCTAATACCATGCAATTTCTATGTGGGAAAAAGCTGCCTGCGCCATCTAAAAAGCACGAACGGGGGTTATGTTTGACGTCTTGAATGGTGATGTGGTCGCTCCATAAATGTTTGTTGTTGTTTTATGTTTTTTTAATTAAATGCAGGTAGTAATTTTTGCATTTCTTTATATATTATTTATGTTGTGTATGCCGCATTCTATATTTTTTGTGTCTTTGTTTTTTAAATTTACTTGGTTTAACCGCAATGCAGAATCACATGTGTAATACCGTTATGCTATTGTTTGTATTTGTTTACGTTTTTGGTGTAATGCTTGCTTAATTTTTATGTTTATTGATGTTGATTACTTGGTCTTGTCCCTGAAGTAACATTCATATAAGTTCTCATTTTATTTAAATATGTGGAAATTACCGATTCGTTTGATGTATGTACTGATCTGCTGTTTGTTACTAACAATTTTCTCCGTGAATGAAGCAGTCATGGGGGTGGAAAAAAAACTGTAGTCAAAATTGAGTTACGACACTTAATTCCGCGATTGTCTTCGACATTCAACTGTAGGCTCGAAAACCCGAAACCAGGGGCGGGCTACCCATCTTGCAGGAGCGGGATTACGCTAATCAAAGCTCTTCAGTTTAGAATCTATGTGCGATAAATGAGTGGCGATTCAATAATTTCCACGTATCTTGTTTTTAGTTAAATTTGCCTACAAGGCCATGTAATTTTCCATCTTGTTTTTAACAAAAGGACTTTATTGCACCAAAGATGAGTCACATCCTGTGTATTTCATCTTTTCTTAGAATCTTGTTACCTGCTTACTTGGCCCATTATTCCCAAAACTTGTTTTTAACCTATATGTTTCCTCTTGAAGTTTACCTGCTACTTTTTGTGATGTTCTGATGTTATAATTTTATGTTACACATTCACATCATTACAAACATTTAATTTTACAACACAATTTGATATTAATTTTACGGCTGGTTTTTTTATTGGTAAGTTCTTTTTTCCCAGCCTATTTCTATTTTGATTCGGTGAAGTACCATTTTCAAAGTTTATCTTTGCAATGTAATTTATTTGAACTTAATTTCCGAGTTTTCAAGATCTTAATAATTACGATCATTATTAAACAAACTTGTCACAATTTTTTATTTTATTTTACGTTCCTTCCCTACTGTGCTTCAGGTCAAAGCGTTGTTTACAACTAACGTAAGGGGGCCCTGCCTTAGATGTCTTATCACGTGCCACATTTCAAATTTAAGCGGAATCTTGTTTAGTTTTGGAGGGAATAGTCATTCAGGTGGCCATTTTTAAACGTTGCCGGGTTGACTTTATTTCCGTGTTCTTGTAGTGTGAAGTTAGTGTAGAACCTGGGGGTTAAGTACACCACACAACCATATATATATTTTATGTTGTCGTACAGCAAATTGCTTTTTTTCAAATACCTTAAAAAAACATAGGCCATTGCATTCGAAAAACAAAAGTTGCATATAGATTTCCGGTTAAACTGGAAGTGATACCGGAAGAAATTACATTTTAAGTTTTCCGTATCTCACCAAATCGGCCAAATAAAAGAGATATTTGATCCTTCCTTATTTCGAAGGCACTGGATAGTGTATACGTCAAAATTCTTTGAGCGAATAAATGAATAAAAAAATAAATACATTTTTGTGTGTTATCGATCTGAAAATGTCGAATCCAAGTTAATAAGTACAGCAGCATATAAATAATTCAATCAAATTCAATCTTAAACTATAATCAATTTAATATAATTCAAATTTAATTATGTAACTAGTTGGAATTCAATTAAGTGGGAGCCTAGGGCTTCCAGAAAACAACTAAGTTGGGCAATGTCGTTGCAGATTCAATAAATTATTGCTTAAAAATAAAAGGGCGATCAAATTACAGAGCGGAATCTTAATTGAAATAATGATTTTTAAGCTGAGTTGAAATAAAATTTGTTTCTAACATGAAACCGAAATCGTATTAATTACATTTACCCATTTCACATTCTTTGTAAAGTTATTTGTAGGTACGGGTTTTTAAAGCTAATTAGAACAGGATCAGATATACCTAACATTAAAGGGAAATCTCATCTTTGCGTCGTTAGTAAATCCTTTTAGCTTCCGCCCGCATATGCCAGTTAATTATTTGAAGGCGCCTTAAATTAGCGAAAATGCAAAATGAAAACCTACCGTGATCGTGAGTCCTGGAATGATGGCCGTTATCGTGATCCGTCACGTCACGATCCTCCTCGTCACCTTCAGGGAGATCTCTGTCAGATTCGCTTTCATCCCAAATCGTATCTGTGGCAATTTTTTGTCGGGAACATTCTATCCAGTAGCCGGGAGTCGGTATAAAATTGTGTGGAAACTCTTCGCAAAATTCATCTGAAACGAAACGCAATATTAATATATTAAATGGAAAACATTCAAATGCATCTGGCTGTGCTCCATTTCGCTACGGTAACAGAATAAGCTCACTCAAATGGAGATAAGCTTTCCAAAACCTTATAAATATTTATATGACAATTTACTGTATAAGAACATTCTTACGTTCCGAGTTTACAAATCTTAAATTATAAATGACATAAAAGCGAAAGCGAAATGTAGGTAGGTATGTAACTCACACGACTGCTTTTATAAAGAAAAACCGTAGGATGGAGTATTTTTTAATGCGGTAGGTACATACCTACCATTAAAAACGTTCATCTAAATAATTCACACTTAAAAAGTACAAAAAAAAGATTTAGTTTTCTTCGTCAAGGGAAGATCAATAGGGAATATTGAAGTAAAGCCATTACCAATTAATATCGGTGGTTCATTTTCCGAATAGTAATTCAAGTGAGGAATTCCGAAAGCGTCCGGGGAAATCAATCAGAATTTGGAAGGAAAGCATTTGGGCGCTAATTCTTGGATGCAGGCGTTTGAGTGACGGGCGGACATTTTCCATTCTAGAAGTGATATACGTAGAATTTCATTTTTCGTTGTTACATAAATTTCATTTCTAATTCAGCTTCGATCGTCAGAGCTTTTCCGCTACGCGTTATAACTTCTCGCGTGTAAATTACAAATGAATATTTTCAGGTTGCGAAATTTTCAAAGTCTTTTCAAATGTTTATTAATCCTGATAGTAGATTGTAGGAGAATACAGCAATTCTTCGCCAGTGTTATCTGTTTGTTTCATTTTCAATAATATATTAACATTGGAAATGTTTATGTTTTCCTATGTGCGTATAAGGTTACGTCTTCGATAGTTGCACGGATTGCGAATTTTTTTTTATTGCACAATCAATTATTTTGTATATAATTTTTAAGAAAAGTTTAAAAAGAAGGTGGGAGATCCCCCATGTAATCAACAACCCTCAAGTCTCGTCGTCATAGAACGGTTGGGTTTTTGTATTGAATAATGCCTTGGCTGGCCGTTTTCTTCACAAAAAAGGATAGACTATAGCAGAGAAATGACAGTAATTTTTATTTAATGATTTTATGGAACGGTTTTTGGTTTTTATGTAATGTACCAACTAAAAGAAAATGAAGTATATTTAGAAAATAGCGTCACACTCCCACCATTCAGTTATATTAGGTCACCTTAAGATACAGTAAAAGCAAAATATTTGCAAACAATAATACTTATCTCAAACCAAAAAAAGGATTACTTTGCGTATACTAAATGGAAACACAATCAACGGACTAATAAGAAAAAACAAAAAATATGCTACTAATAAAACAAGATAAACTCAAACGGTCGATTTCGAATGTTCTTACAATATTTACAATGGAAATGGCTTCTAAGCTAAGTGAACACGTGAAAATCTTTATGGAAATTCTAAATCAAAGTCAATGTCAATAATGTAGTCGATAGTCGTCGCATAAACCCAGTCGCGATCAAACTAAATCAAATTTCGGGGAAATCCCAAAAGAGATTGCGGTTAATTACAAACAAATCGCTGCTGGACCGGTAAATAAATACCTAGAGACTTGATCCATTAAAACTAATTAATTCAACGCGAATGTAAGGTACCTATGAACTATAATTTAGTGTGGAGTTGGCACTGAAAGAGAGAGAAAAAGGGACGTCATTGTAGTTCATTTTTAATGTCACCTTTGAATGCGAGCTGTGAAGTTGATTAGTATTAGACGTAACCTAAAATTTTCAGGGCCTTCCCCGAATCAAAATTTTGTTGATCATACCTTACAACCACGTACAAACATAAAACGCGCACTCGCTTTTGGTTTTAAATTTAACACATAATACAGTAAACATCTCAAATGCGGCCGCCCGCTTTATTTTTAAAATAGGGTTGTTTCTTTTACCTTTTATTTGTCATTCTCCAGTACGTGCAGTATATTCCAAAACTTAATTATTTATATTTTTTATATGGCGTAGTTGTAGACAATTGTAAGCACGTGGGCTGAATACAATATAAAGGTAGTTTCTCTGGATCAACCTATAGTATAGTAGGTAAAAAAATAAAGTATGCTTGGTTTTGTAACGTCCCGTTGTTTCGTTGAATCTACTCTTGGTTTGGGTGACTTGATTGAATGCGCTCTTAGTGTGTTAGGAGTAGTTGGTACTATTGAGATTGAGTCATCAGGCTAAAATTGTCTACATTATTTATTTAAACGTATTTACGCGAATGGGACTTGGTTGTGTCCTTTTAAGGTAGATTTATTTTCATTGGATTCCTTATTTGTTAACACGTTTCTTTATAGGTTATACCATACGTTTTAATTTAATTACTTATCTTTCTTTTACCTATACCGCAATCCGAAATCCATTTATTAATAGGATACGTAAGTTAGAATGAATTGGATTTGGGTCTGATTTTGGCATTGTAGTTTTTGGATGGATTTTTCGTGTAACGAGCATTAACCACTCATATCGATGAAGTACCGTTCTCTTATGAAGTGCTACAACGAGCAATACAATGTGTACACTATCGAAGCGGCTGCCAAAGTGCAAGTACACTGTAATAGCTTTTGTATATATTACTGTTTATGCATTTACATTTATGTGTATATGTACATTTGTTGGCAAGACAAAAGTGTTTTACCCCAACGGTTCACAAAGCTTGTATTCTTATTTTATTTTTAGGTCATGGTTTTATTTACTTTCTGGCGTGACTTATGTAGCCTGGCTGCCAAAATTACATGAGCTTTGTCCAACCTCGATAGCCATTTCACTGGAAGGCCGGTTTCCCTGACTAGCCGAGGCCAATTCACTTTCCTTCTCAAGATCCCTACAGTTTTTGGAGGGCACCATCCATTCTTTGCATCAATTCTATTCTTCAGTTTTGAGATCCTTTAAATTCTTGCATTTCCTCGGATTCTTCCGGTACTTTTCGGATTATTTTAATTGTTAGGATTCTATAGAATAGTAAATACTTAAATTCCTAATTTTCTTCGAATTTTTTCGTTTATTCGGGTATTTCTGATGTTGCAGTTTCTTCAGCTACGTTAGATTCTTCCGTTTACTTAAATGTTTTCGATTTACCAGATTCTAGAAATTCTTCAGACTCTCGACATCGTGTAGTTCCTTTACATTCTTTAATATCTTTCATTTCATGGAGATTTTTTCCATTATTAGGTTTTAGATTGTTCAATTTTTTCAATTCTTTAGATTCAGCTTCGAATTCGAACTTTTCCTTTTCCTCAGATGTTTCAGAATAGTTTCATTAATACCCCATTGTTCATATTATGTTATGTTATGTATGTAAATAATAACATACCAACAACTACATGAACCAAACTACCTTGTATAGCACTCAATAGTTAAACCATGCAACCGGTGCAACCCTATAGTCCACTGAATGAAGGAAAAATATAGGAAATAATGCGTGTAAAAGTGAATTTTGGTATAGTTGTAGGCAAAGGTGTCTTAAACAACGTACTAAAATACTCATGGATGGGGTGGAGCTAATCTGAGAGGGGGTGTAAGGTCACCTTTTTTAGTTTGTTGTAAATAATTCGTAAACGGTGGCCCATAGCAAAGAATGTGCTTATACATAAAGTAATCTACATACAATTCTACAAATAAAAGTTTCTATACTCTTCTCGCTGCGAGCAATATTTAATGATATAATGGAAGGAACAAGATGAATAATTAAAAAAAAGTTTAAGTATATGTACTAAATTGTTACTACGAAAGCGTTTGGGTCCAAAGTGCAAAACATTTCCGTTGCATTATTTTTTTGAGTGGCAAGTTACGTAAAAAAAACCAGTTTAGTAATTAAATCTGTGCGCCTAATTTATTTATGCGAGCTCTTAATCACATTATTTAAAAAACGGCAACTGGTAAAAAGGTTAGAAACAATTAATTTGTGCTTTTGTTGGCTACCAAAACCCCAAGTTATAGGGGTAATTTCGGACGCGGAATATTGGTAATTTTTTCTCGCAAATAAACCAAATTGGGGCTAATAAATTGTGAGGAACCTGAAGCACGGATTTAACCTACGTCAACCACCTTGCGAGATTCCTTTACAAAGAATTTTGCCTGCCGATACAAAAGCCCGATTGTATTGTAAAAAAGGCGCTCCACCATCCAATTCTTCAAACTGCTGCTGCCTTTCAAAGAGAAAATCCAAGTGACAATAGGAACATGTTTTAACTTCAATTGACCGTTTTTAGTGATTTTGTAAAATTTTGTAAAAACCATTTTTGCTAGAAGCCATTTTTATACACTAAAGAGGTTGATTTACCTGGATTTATCCCATGAACACATGTGTGTAAATTTATTTGAATAGAATTTCGTACTAGGTGTTTGATTATAACGGATATAAGGATCTAGGTAATCAATTAAAATTGGTTGGTTGGTTTTTATTTTGTATTAATTACATTTTAAATGTTAAACACAAAAAAATATGAAGAAACCTGGAGTTGGTACGATATTGATTTCATCAATATATTCACTAAATCGAATTTGTATAAGTACTTATTCGGGAGTGATCAAACCAGAGCATCAGTTTTATTATTGCTTTACAAACATTAATTCTTACAGTAAAACTTTTTCCAGTGCCGCAGACAATAAAATTCATTTTGTACAACTGACCTCTGTAAATGTAGCTACCCCGTTACAGGATACTATTGCACCTGTTTAGGGAACGCAATTCGCACAAAAAAATCAGCTATCCCGTCACGAGAAGTTTCAATCCAATTAAGAAAAGAGTCTACGCGCCATAAAAAGGGGAAATCGTTAAGTCTACATTTAAGGTAAATGCTTGAATTCAGTTTCAACCAGATCCTTAAGAAAGGGTTGTAGGTTTGATAATTTCTTTGTTAATCGGAGATTAATACAGGAACCTTACGATTCGGTCGTTATTTTTAAACAGAAAGCCATATTGTATGTGATTTTTTTGAATTAGCCCAGTTAGAAAAAAAAGTTGTTTCGT